CCCCCCTCAACAGGGTCTAGAGAGCTGTTTAAAGGGCCCAGATAATTACAACAGCCAGGTATTAATAGAGGCCACAGTCATTGCACTGACCAAACTGCAGCCACTTCTGAACAAGGTACGGAGACAGAAGTGCAACCAACCCTTACAGGTCAACTTTACCTCCTTAATTCTTGCTGTACTCTGTGTTGTCCAGTGGGTCTGAGTAGTTCCAGCCTGCTTGTGTGTGTGCTTGGCTGGCTGGCTTGGAGTTCGTGTCCATGTTCCCTGCAGCTTGACTGTTCTTCTCTGCCCCTCACCCCCACTCTCAGTGCTGCTTCCTTCTGCTCCGAAATCACCCGAGACTGCCCAGAATCGGGAGGGAAGTTTGCTGTCGGGGGGGGAGAGCCATCTTGGTGCTTTCGGGGGCAGACACAATCCCACTGTACTTTAAAAACTCGGGATCTGCAAATCAGTAATGTCTGTCCCGTGGTGGAAAGAGCCACCTAACATCTAAACCACACGACAAACAATTTGGTCTCTGAGCAGCCAACAAATAAACCGATTTATTAGTGGAAACACCTAGAGCAATGTTTTAAATTTACAGCTTGAAGTGTTGCATTTATTTTTCTCTAGTGCGGCGATTCTGTTTTTGCTAGTAAATCTCCTTATTCATCCCGGTGGTGGTAATAAAAGCCCAGGAGGAAAGCAGCCAGGCTGTTGCTGTCTGGTTCCTGTGTGTCCTCTGTGTGTCAAGTGTGATTCGCACAGTCTGTACAAGTCCGGCGGTGTGCTGCATCGCCCGCTTCTTGATAGAGAGAAATCTGTCCTTGCTGTAGCAGCGACACAAGGCACAGATATCAGTGAACGTAACTTCCCCTTAGTAGATTTCCGAGAATCAAGCTGTTGATACTCTGGGGAAAAAAAGTGGGATCGGTGTTTAAATGAACTTTTGTAATTGCCCCAGGTCAAGGCTAATACTTGTTATTGATGATTTACAAATGAGGATGAACAGTAAATATATTTTGGTTTAAAACTGAAACATCTGCTGTTAAAAAAAAATAAAAGCTGAAAAATAGTCTGGGAAACGAACGTTTGGACTCCGATCTTTGTTCTGTGTGCTTCAGGACTCTCCCATGCACAAAGCGCTGTTCTGGGTGGCCATCGCTGTCCTGCAGCTGGATGAGGTCAACCTGTACTCTGCCGGTACTGCTTTGCTGGAGCAGAACCTCCACACGCTGGACAGCCTGAGAGTCTTCAATGACAAGGTACTGAGCGCTGTATGCAAGCGTGCTGCCCTACGCCAGAACAAAAAAAACGGGGGGAAAAAAAGAGAAAAGTTCAAACTGGACTGCCGAAGACTCACAATTTCTTTGTTTTTCTTCCAATGATTAAATCCTTAATATTTTCTGGGGGAAACAAGACAAGAATGAATATTTTAAAATTTGGTCAAAGTAGTTGTGCAAAATTACCAAAGAGCTGTTTCCAGAAAAGTGGATTTTTAATTTTTTCCCCCTTAAATCTATTTAATTATATTTCTCCTTTTGACTTAAGTAAAGCCAATGAAATGTGATTTTGTTGATCTGCTAGTCTGGCAGACCAGTGAGTTGTTCCGATGAGAGGGAAAAAAACTTGTTTTAAAGGTTCCACTAGCCCTCTGTACCAGGCTGATTCGGGATTGTGACGATGCCTGGACCCACATGGGGTTTGAAGGAGAGCCTATCAGGCCCTCTGACATGCCCACCCATCCAACCACTCCTCCTTTGACAGTGTTGCAGAGAGTTGCTCTTTGAAAAGCCATCCATCAGAGACCTAACTGGTAGAGGCGTTTGTCCAAGTGTGTTGACCTCCGTGATCATGGGTTCGAGCCCAGATCATGTCCCACGCCCCCCCCCGATGGGGATTCCCCGAGCAGCGTGGTGACGCACAATTGGCTGATGTCCACCGTGGGCAAGATGGGACTTTCTCAGTGAAACAGCGATCTCTGCAGTCGCTCTCCTCCAGTCGCAGTCGGTTAGGGATGTGCCCCCAGCTCAGTCTCACGAGCGGGTCGTAGAGCTCACCGTGCTCTCTCAGCGATCACCTTTAGTGCTTGAGCCGTCCGGGACTCCTGAAAGAGCCATCCTTGATCCATGTCGGAATGCTATGCTCTGGCCTTTGAAAAAGAACCATTTTGTGTTGTTTTGTTTTTTTTATGGCTGCAGCACAATCGCTGTTTGTAGGGTGGTGTCATTTTACAGCAAATAGAATGCACATGAATGTTGTCTATACTGAGAAATCTTACACTTGTTACACCTTGTTGGACACGCTGCAAGCGACAGGAAAAATTAAGAATGAAAATAAGAAATCCACTTCTAAGAATGAAAAGGTTTTGCTTGCATCGAATTCCCCATCTCGGCTGCAGTTTATTTTCCAGACAGTTTAATGCTCACAGGGTGGGAATGTGTTAATTTCAGTTCTTTTAATGGTTTTCTTTATGTATTCTTGTGTATCTTTTTTTTTTTTGTGCTGGCGGCTGGTTGTCAGAACCACAGGGGGGGATCTGATCTGAGTGCACCAGGGTGGCTCCAGACGAGTGTTTTCAAATGAGGAAGCTCTTGGCCAGGGAGGAAACATGGGGACTGATTAAAACCTTGCAGCCTGTGCTGTTCACATGCTTCCATCTGGAACCGGGTTTACACTGGGGGACAGAAAAATGACAACTGGAGACAGACGGTCTATCTCCCTTCCACCGTGACTCAATCCCCAAGAGGACTGGTGCCCATGTGGAAACAGCACCACTTTTCAAGAGCAAGATAATTAGAGCAGACAGTTTCAGAATGGGAGATTTGTTTGCATTTTCTGCGTAGGACACAGTTGTGAAGTTGCAGAATTGCCCCCACTTCCTACATGAGAAACCCACACTTCAGCAGCACTTATAATGGGGACGTTGTATTTTGGCTTTTGCTGTGATAACATTCCGTGTAAGAAGAAAGACCATTGTTAATCAGTTATACCACAATAATTCTGTAATCTTTACCACTTTGTGCTATTTAGAAAATATTCTACAATGGTTAATAAATATGGGTTAATGGATTAAAATGTTTGCATTTTCAATAGGTTATGATGTGGTGATCTTTTCTAATTTCTCTTTACCTTTTAACAACTTACTTTTAGTACTTGTAAGATATTATTAAACCTGTAAAATATTAACAAAAACATTATAAAGCAGCACCTTGTATGCAAAGTGTTAATACAGTAGAATGGTGTAGCAGAAGACGTTATCTGCAGTTGTTCTCTTAAGCTCAGTAAGACAGGAGAGTGAGTTGCACTACTTTGTATCAAAGATGTCAGTAAAGGAACCCTAGAATTGCAGACTGTATACGAGCTATTGCAATAGAGCGGTGATTCATCCTGTCTGGTGGCAGGCCCTGGAAAGGTGTGAAAACGCATAGCACCGAGCAGTTTTTCAGGCCCAGCGTCTCTTGCAGACTGGGACGCCCTCTTGTACAGACCATGCTAGCCAGAGTGGAAGTTGTGTCATGAGCACCACGCATATCTGACTATATCTGTCACATGTAGTCATCTTCTTAGTTTATAAAGCCCCCCTCATGATAAAAACACCTCAAAGATGTATACATCTTTTAACAGGTGAAAAGTAGACATAAAAACATAAAAGGCAAAAATAAAAATCACAGACTTAGAAAACACCATCTTGGTTAGACAAGTTTTAAAAGCATTCAAGCACTCAGGTTCCCTGTTTCTTTTGGAGTGGTATAAAGGCCTAAGATCCCTTCACTTACATCTTACCCAGATTATACTCGATATTACAGGACTGAGCAAACTCAATCTGCAATCTGAATATTAAATGAGGGAACTCAAATATTTGATTAATGATTTTTATTTTTAAGCAGTTGTACGGGATAGTGCACACTGTTTTCTAGTTCTGACCACCCTTGACTCCCTCTCTATCCCCAGAGTCCTGAGGAGGTGTTCATGGAGATCAGGAAACCTTTGGAATGGCACTGCAAACAGATGGATCATTTTGTCGGCCTCAACTTTAATTCCAACTTCAACTTTGCGCTAGTTGGACATCTGCTGAAAGGTGGGTGAGAAGATCGCTTTCTTCAGCTGTCTGAGCGGTGTACTGGTCTGATCCTTGTCTTGTCTAAAAATCCCAGGGTGGTTCTCGTCAAAAGACTAGGGGTGTTCACCCTGGTGTCGTGACCAAATGTCCCCCTGGCCTTTACCAATCATGGCCTCCAGATTGTCCCAGTTCATGAAGTAGCTTCACCATTGTGCTCTCCTCCTCACTGAGAGCTGGTGTGTGGGGAGCAGACTGGCTCACTTTAGCTGCCGTTGCATCATCCAGGTGGTGGAGGAAGGGAGTCCCCCTGTAAAGCACTTTGAGCGGAGTGTCCAGAAAAGTGCTATATCAGTATGAGGGTTATTATTGTTATTATTATCTCTATTTTTGTGCATCTGCCTGCCTGTCCACATCTGTCAGTTGTTCTCTCTCCACATCTGTCAGTCTCCAGATGTGTTTCATTTCCAGAAAGTTTAATCCTCTCAGGATGTGAATGTCAGTTTTTTTTTTTTTCAAAGGCTCCTCTGAAAGACCTGTTAGCCGCTCCAGTCGGTCAGTGGGGTCCTCGCAGGAACAGTGTAGTTTAGTGCTGTTGGTTACCTCCCGTGTGAGTCTGGACCCTCCTCCTCTTTCCTCCGCAGGGTACCGGCACCCCTCCCCCACCACGGTGGCGCGGACAGTGCGCATCCTCCACACCCTCCTGGCCCTGGTGGGCAAGCACCTCAACTGCGACAAGTTCGAGGTCAACACCCAGAGCGTGGCCTACCTGGCAGGTGAGCGCGCCGAGGAGGAGGAGGGCGGCATGCGGGCCGTCTCGCTCGACTGGCACTTAGCAGCTAATCGCTCCAAAGTCATCCGGCTGTTTCTTGAAAGAAGCCAGGGCTATCAGCTTCCACAGCGTGGCCGGGATAGCTTGTGCCATGCGCCTGCAGCCCTCTGGGTAAAGAACTGTCTGCTGTTCTCGGTTTTAAATGCACTGCCACATAGTTCGCACTTGTGTCCTCCGGTCCGTGTTCCACTGTTCGTTCTGAGGACGGATTCTGAGTCGTCGACGGGAGAGGAGGACAATTGACGAGAGAGAAGTTCTCTGCTCACATGACTGCCAGTGCAAGTTGTCAGTCCCGAGTCATTTCAAGGCTAGGCTTGCAGCCCCGTATGATACCTCATTTGGCACAGGAGGGTGCTTTGTACTGTACCTGCGTTAATATTCCCTGACTCCGGGGGTGATTGTAACGATATGGGGTTGCTATGGCTAGTGCAGTGATTAAATACTGTGTTAAAAACAGGACAGAATGCTGTGGGTTAGAAATACTCTCGTGTTGGATACAGAGGTCAGTGGGGGTGGCGCTGTGTTTTGCTGTTGTAACGAGACTCTTCCCGCTCCTTGCGCGCAGCACTCTTGACCGTCTCGGAGGAAGTGCGCAGCCGCTGCAGTCTCAAGCACAGGAAGTCCCTGTTGTTGTCTGACGTTACCATGGAGAATGTTCCCATGGACACCTACCCCTTGCATCACAGCGACCCCAGCTGCAGGTCAGCATCTCCTTTTCTCTTCTGTCGGGTTCCGGGTAGCAAGATGGCGAACTTGCCGGAGAGCTACGGTCCCTGTATCTCTCGTACCCTGGTGTTTGTAATAAACAAGTATAACTCGGTAACGAATATCAACATGCGTGCATGTCCTGCCCTTCGGGATTCAGCCGTTCGGTTGCTGGAGCCCCTGAAGTGAAAAACAGCCATGGTGCCCTGTGACAGCATGGAACTAAAAAAAGAACAAAGCTCTTATTTCATCATCTGTCTGCATCTTTTTTTAGCCTCTTAGTAATTGTTTGCTGCTGTGCTTTCATGCCGGTTCATTTTTTCTTTCTTTGGCTGTGCGGTCAGTGTGTTTCATCACTGCACAAGAATGAACACGAGCGTTGCCGTCCTCGGAACGCGGGTGTCCGCTCAGTTACGTCCATCGCACAGCTGGGCGACGTGCACGAGCCCCTCTGCTTGAGTTGCCGGGCTCAATTTCCTGTCGAGAGAGAGAAGGCCGCTGCCCAGGGCTCGCTGTGCAGTGCAGTGTGGGCTGAGGAATGCTGGGTAACCTGCTCGACTGTGATGTTCCAGCAGGGCTTATGGCAGACGAGCTTCTCACTTGTACCTCGCGCCGACCACAGGGCTCTATTTTAAAAATCTCAGCATGCTGGCAATGAAGCAAGACATTCTCTACATGACTGGGTGCAAATTAGCTGTAGCCTCACACCTGATATCTTAGCGGAACTAGAAAAGAGAAACTCATTCGCTTGCAAGCTGCAGTGAGTGCCAAGAGCATGCCTCTGACTCTCTCTCTGGGCTTTTCAGGACGCTGCGAGAGAGCCAGCCCTGGGCTTCCCCCAAAGTCTCAGAGCGGTATCTGGCTGCCAACTACCCCACTGTGGGGCAGATCAGCCCCCGCACGCGCAAGTCCATGAGCCTGGACATGGGTCAGCCCTCACAGGCCAACACCAAGAAGCTGCTGGGTGAGTGACCCAGCGGGCTCCCTGTGTCCTGCCCGCTCTCTTCCTCTTCCTCAGCTGTCATCCCGGCGTTTCCTGCAAAGTCTGAGCTTCCTGAATGTCCAGACGTCTCCCTGCTTATTAGTTTTTGCTTCACCACGCGTTGAATAAGTGGCAGAAGTGTTTGAGACTCCCACAGGCGCCAGCCTTACGTGTTGACAGCAGCCCTGGTGACAGGCTATGCCACACCCTACCTGCCAGAAGCATTCTGGTTTGATAGTTATTTCTAACAACGTGATAGAAAAATTAAGATAGTTGGAAATAAGAAAATGCAGAGCCCCACATTTTAAAAGGAAATGCTTTCTACTGGGGTTGGGGGTGTTGCAGATATATATATATATTAGATGGAAGGAGTTGCAGTTAAACAACAGTAAGAAGGCATTAAAGAAAGGTACTTAAGAAATCCCCTGCTGACCTTGGTAGGAATTGCTACCTGTGGGGGCTGGTTGGGTTTCGATGGGCAGTTCTGTACGTTCGCTGACCCCATTTTCTGTCCACCAGGGACGCGGAAGAGCTTCGACCACTTGATATCGGACACTAAAGCACCAAAGAGACCAGAGATTGAATCTGGCACCACCACGCCTCCCAAGATGAGGAGAGTAGCAGAAAACGATTATGAAATAGGTGAGCAGCTTCATGAGAATTTGTGAATGAAAGCAGGCCAAGTCAGCCCACTGCGTTTGGTGTTTTGCCAATTGTAGCTTATTGATTCGACTCAGTGGACTGAGCTGCTGACTGAGTGTCTTGCTGGGGTTGAAGACGTTTTTTTTTGTGCAGATCGCCTTGATGGAACCCCCCGCAAAACGATTATTACATTTTTCTTGCATGGTTAAATAGCATACATATTTTTTATTTGCAATGCAGCACATATACTGTTTTTACTTGATCATGCGGTTCTTGGAATTCATGCAGCTAAAAAGGACTAGCTGCTGTTACAAAATGCGCTGATTCAGCAAAAGGAGATGACTATATTCCCACTGCATTAATCCGCAGCAAAATGTCCCTGAAACCCTCTGAAAATTGAGCAGGATTAGATGCGTCTCTTCTACCTTGCTTACGCTGGGTTTTTTTCCTCTCTCTTGCGGCAGAGACCCAAAGAATAGCCAACTCCCAGCAGCACCCACACCTGCGGAAGGTCTCGGTGTCGGAGTCCAACGTGCTGCTGGACGAGGAGGTCCTCACTGACCCCAAAATCCAGGCCCTGCTCCTCACTGTCCTAGTAAGCATGTCGTCTCTTTATTGTTCCTCTGTGGATCTCTCCTGTCCCTCTGTTAGGCCTCTTTCCTTTCCTCACAGTTTTTCACTTCTTCCCTTCCTCTGTTCCCTGATCCCTCTGCTTTCCGACCCTGAAAAACCCGGGAAGGTCACGACGCGCTCATCTGCGTTTGTACAGGCTTGTCTTGTGGCGGGCGGTTAAGAATTCAGGCGATCCCTGCAGGACACAGACTGAATCTAAGGATAAGCAGAAGGCCTGGGCCTGAAGACCTGATCTTTTCTGAACACTTCCTTTCTTTCCTCTTCTAGGCCACACTGGTGAAATACACAACAGACGAGTTTGACCAGAGGATCCTGTACGAGTATTTAGCTGAAGCTAGCGTTGTCTTCCCAAAGGTCTTTCCAGTTGTGTAAGTCCTCCCAGCTTTCGCGCCTTGGGAAAGTGCTTTCTGCTACTTTGCGCCACCGTGCCTGCGGTTTCTGTCTGCACTGCACACTGAGCACTGGTGGTTGAGCAAAGCTGTTTGATTGTGTTAGAGATTAGGGTCCTGTGTTACAGAGCTACAGCTCTGCCCACAGTGAAGCATGAGCCTACGTGCACATTTCAGTCTGCACTGGCTGTGACAGATGCTCTTATGTTCAGAAAAAAAAATCCCCTGCCTCAAAATAAATATAACTTTGAATGTTTCAAAATAGTACAGCTTTTTTATTGAACAGATTGAGATGCTTCGGCGATATTCTGTTGGTTGTACGTTTTCTCCCCTCCATTGCACTGGGGAGTAAGTATTTCATCTGGGGCTGTACTTTGAAATTTTGTTTTGATGGGGCAAGCAGCCCTCTCCTCATCCTGGTCCCAGCTCCTGGCCTTCTGGGACCCCTGAGAGCCCCAGCTGGGCACGTGGGGATCGGGACAAACAAAAGGGCCTTGCCTTTTGAGACGAGAGGTGAGGGTTGTAACTGGAGTATGGTGAGAACCTGGCGGAGTTTTAAATTACATGCTAAATTACATGGAAACAGCGAAAATATATTAAAAGCAGACTATGATATTGGGTGGGGAAAAAGCATGAATCCAGTAATTTTAATGGTTATCATCCATGTGTTCAGGTCAGATAGTTACATTCCTTCTTCATCTTTTCCTTATTTCAGCCACAACTTACTGGACTCGAAGATAAATACCCTCTTATCACTGTGCCAGGACCCCAACCTACTGAACCCCATCCATGGCATTGTGCAGAGTGTGGTGTACCATGAAGAGTCACCCCCTCAGTACCAGCCCTCCTATCTGCAGAGTAATAATCCTTTCAGTGCGGCATGTGGCCTCTTTCACACAGACATTTTCACATTCATTTTACCTCTTATCGCGGGACCAGATTCATTTTCTGATCCTGCTAAAAATTGTTCTTGCACCCTGTTACTGTGAGATCCTCAGTGTTGCTCTTGGATTCCTTAGAGCTCTTGTTTCAGTTAGTATGTTTGGCAAGTACGTTTTGTGAACTCAACATTAGGAGCCTAGTTTATGGGACACCTGGGTCTCACACAGTTCAAATGGTCTTTCTTTACGTAAAGACACTCCAGGTGAGATTACATGCTGTGCTCAAAGATCAGCGGCGTTGATGAGCATCACAAGGGGCCTGACTTTGAGGGTCATAAAAAAAGAATTACATTGTGGGCAAATGAAGCATCTTTTTGTCCTGTTTACCGCTGAGCAGGTTTAACAGAGTGTGACGGAGTGAGATGCATTATCAGTGTGCATACGTGAGCTTCTTCTAGTGTCATGATACAGTAGAATCATTAATACATGAAGTCAGATAGCTGTCAGTTAAGCACCATAGCACTGTACTTGCAAAATATTGACATTTTTCTTAACCTAAAATGCAAAAAGGGCTAGGAGGTTGGGAACACTTGAGATCATTAGGAGTAGTGATGCTAGCATTGCCGCCTTGCAGTCAAATCACTTCATTCTTCACGAGAGATATTAATACCCCGGTGGCATAAATAGTCTCTGAATCAGGAAGAGAAGGGCGTGCATGTACTCAAGTGTCTGGCTGGCCATGTACGAATGAGTCATGAGCCGAGCTCTGTGCTCGGGCCTTTGTGCACTGCTGAGTCCTGTTGCCCAACGCATCTCTTCCTCTCTCCTGTCAGGCTTTGGTTTCAATGGCTTGTGGAGGTTCGCCGGACCCTTCTCAAAGGTATGATTGTTCACCCTCGTGCCTGCCTTTCATCTTCGTTGGCAGCACTAAAGAAATTCAGCTGTGCGGAGAGCACGATTTATCGAAACCCCTGCCATCAACACCGTGCTGCCTTGTAGCCCTGTTGTTGGTATGCGGGATACAGTGAATTATGTGTGAGAGCCGCACGAGTCGGGCGACCATTTCAAAACTCTGCTGCAGTCCACCCAGGAGAGGATCTGTTTGCTTACAAAGCTTCTCGGGACAGAGTCCAATCTGTCTGTTAGGGTTCTAAATAGTTTAGAATCCTCTGTTTTCCTGCAGATAGGTATGATGTTGTATTGCAAATGATCACCATCTTACTTTTGTTAGAATCAAAGTGGTTTGTTACCTTCAGTCCTGAAAAGTGTTTGTAATGCTCATCATCCATTTGAGATGTTTTGCTTCTTCCTGTCATTAACAGAGGATTAAGCTGCCCCCCCTTGTCTCTCTGTGCCACACCCAGCAAACCCAGATCCCAGACTATGCCGAGCTGATCGTGAAGTTCCTGGATGCCTTGATCGACACCTACCTGCCGGGTATCGACGAGGAGACGAGCGAGGAGTCTCTGCGGACGCCCACGTCTCCGTACCCTCCGCCGGTGCAGAGCCAGCTCAGCATTACCGCCAACCTCAACCTCTCCAACTCCATGACCTCGCTCGCCACCTCCCAGCATTCCCCAGGTCAGCACACGCGTGCACGTGCATGCACAGACACACGCAGCAGAGGTACTCCAGACAGAGATTGTACACACGCGCACAGGCATTCACACTTTGCTCTTGGAAGGGCGCTGTGGTGTGCCATGGCAGAAACACATTTTAGTGTGGTGAAGCCCAACAGAACCATGGCAAGGGCTTGTCAAAGCACAGAGAACATCATAAGAAAGGTGGGAAATAGGAAAGCAGAACAATGGTCTGGGAAAATTCACGACAGCATGTGCACAATAGATGGGGCAAAATAAGAACTGACAGGTTGGTTCAGTGTGTCAGATGCAGTCAATGGAAGCCTTTATGTTAACTAAAACACGCCACTCCTGAGAAATTCACAACCAGGTGCTGTGCTGCAGTATGCAGACTGAAACATGTGCTTGTTTCTCATTAGAAATGGCGTTTCTAAAACTGGTGTTTCTGATGGTACTGACAAGTCTTGCAATATTTTAATTTGTTTTGGTCAACCTCTTTCAAAGTCTGAAAGAATTTGTCATCTAGGTTATATGCGTGGTCCTGATATATTTAAGTTTTGAATGATAAATGCAGGACTTTTATCATCATTTTAATTTGCATACTGTGCTTTTTAATGTGGACTGGAAGGTGAGTTGTAGTTAAAAATGTATTCAAGAATGCCTGCCTTTCTGCATCTTCTCATTTTCCACTCAAGGACCAGTATTTTTAAAACCTGCTTTGTTAGCATATTTCTACTAAATATCTGCTTTGGTATTTCTGTTTTATTTCTTTAGTCAAAAACATTTATATAATGTATATAATATGCTCTATCAAAACCTGATTAATTTGTTTATTGTGCTTAAAAGTGTTCTTGCACATAACCTGGTGCTATAACATCCTAAATGCTGGTATTGGATCCTTTAGTGTTCCTGTTTTGGTTAGTAAGTTTAATAAGTTATATTTGTGGATTGTATTGCTTCTACAGAGCAGATGCAATGTTGGCATCACTTTTGTACCAGTAATAAAATGCTGCTTATTTTTCAAAAGGAGGTCAAAATATCCTCTATGTTAATTACAGGTTTCTTGCACTGCAACATGTCCAATTTGCTTGCAGTTTCAGATTCAACACCGTCAATTCCCACATAGGGGAAGAAAATATTGTATCACACATGTCTAGAAATCTGTTTTGCCATAAAATGTCCTTTTCCATGTTTTTTTATTTATTTGCGTGTTTTTTTTGTCTTGTCTGCTTTTGTTTTAATCTGCCTGTCTGCTGTCCGCCCTGGGCGATGGTGCTGTTCTTTCTGCTGTGTAGTTTATAGACGATCCCCAACTTTGCCCCAGTTGAGGTCCTCTGAAGTACTGCCCCAGAATATGCCTGGTACAAGTGAAAACTATAGGGCTGTACTGGGCAAATAATGTCCAAGCCTATAGTTTGTGAAGAGTGGTAACTTTTAAGTTGTTTTATTCATGTGTGACTTAGTAGCTTTAGGCTTACAATTCTGTCCTGTAAAGTTCCTTTGTTGAATCTAGTTCAGTCTAAATGTTACAGAATTTTAAGTTATTTTAGAATAGCACTGAAGTATTCACAAGTAACAAAGATTTGGGAAGCTTTGTGCTGTTCTCCGTTAATGCTGTAGGGCTGGAAATCAAAGTAGCCAAATAATTGCTATAAAGAAAGCAAGAAATGCAAACTGATGCATTTTGAAAATTGAATATTAAGTGTATTTTAAAGCAGTGTAACAAACACTTTTTCTAAGTGACCACTGTTTCACAAATCTTAGTGTATCAGCCTAGACAACAGCTGTAAGAACACTAGAGAATAGTGACAGGTAATATAGAAAACACAGTTAAATAATTATTGGGTTTCAAGTCTGAGCTGATTCCCTTCCCTCATTTAACATTAGAAATAGTATTGAACAGCTATAAGTGTGAAAAGGCTGAATAAAGAGACATCTGTGTAAGAACTGGAGAAATATTGATGTAGTATTGGAGTTCAGTATCTTACATTGTGGATGATGTTTTAAGAATCAGTGTTACATCCTGTTTAATGTTCCCTGCAACTGCTTTACACGATGTAGCACAGTTCTGGGACGAGGTGGTCCAGGTTGATATAATAATAATCAGTGTGGGTTCGATGGCTGTTTCAGCTTCAGCGAGGCATTGTTTTTGAGTCGTTTTCTTATTTTTTTCTGTTCGTGTTGATGTGCCATTCTGCGTTTAATCATGTTGCTTTTTGTTTTGTCACCCTCTTTTCTGGTCTCGCCATTGCTCGCTCCCATCTCTCACCCGCGTTCTCTCCGCGAAGCGTCTCTGCCGTGCTCTAAGTCTGCCGTTTTCATGCAGCTCCTCGCCTGCCCCAGGTACTCTTGACCTCTCCGCCCCCCCCCCAACGCGCGGCTCGTTTCCTGCCCTGGGCACGTGCTCGGGGCCGATGGGGCCAGAAGCCCCAGGAGAACCAGGAAGCCGATCTCTGATCGTCTCCGTTTTTGGAGGAGGGGGGGGCAGAAATGTGTCTCCACCTGGCCAGTAACACAAATGATTTGTGTTTGTGTGGCTGCGGCCCTCTGAAATTGTTCTGTGAGGCCATATTGTACTCTGATCTCAGCAGGAGGAATCTGACTCCTTTTGCCTCTGATGCACAGTGCTGGTCTCAGGCAGCTCCTCGGTACACAACAAATACGTACAAATAAGTAAATCAGAAACAACAAGATTTTACTGTTTCCCTGCAGCCTACCAGCAGTGGGCTGCACATTTTAAATGACCTTTTTCTCTTTCCTGGCAGAGACAACTTCACTTTGTTCTGCAGAAATGACGGCCTGCTGCCTGCTTTGCATGCTAGAGGAAAAGAATCCACTTTTTGAGAGAGGTGTAAAAATGTGTCACAGAAACTTTTCGGTTGACTGTGCAAGGTTATTACGGTGTGATAACAGGTGATAGCATTATATGAACATAGCTTTTTTTTTTACAAAGGAAATATTGTAACGCTGTGGTAGTTCTGTGACAGCTCTGTTCAATGAAGGGGCTCATTTTCATAAAACTGCACAATTTCCTCCCCTACCAGCACTGTATTTTGTAATTGATTTCACTTTCCTAAGAAGTCTTAGATTGTCTTAGATTGACAGGACAATCGAATGTTAGGTCAGATGTGGGACTCTTTCACTGTCAGTTGCTGAAGAGTGCTGAAGTGCTTTAGATGTGTGTACAGTGCCGCCTATTGAGGATTTGGTGTATTGTATCAAGAGAGGGCCATTCTTCTTGCCAGGACTCTTTGCAGAATAAAAGACAAATATTTAATCAAGGATCAACTTTAGTCCAGGGATGATTTTCTCTCCCTGAGGGCTGTCCCTCTGTCACTACATTTTTTAACTTATATGCTTAATTGAACCAAGTATTTTATAAAAGGGCAAATTGCATTTTTTATGTTTTAATCATATTTAGCTTGTAGACAAATGCAAATTAAAATCTTAATCTTAATTAAGAAGGCCTGACTCGAGACCCTCGAGTCCTGGCCAAATTTCCCATTGGCCTTTACCAATCATGGGCTCCTAATAATACCCATCTATAAAGTGGTGTGTGGGCGTGTCTTAGCATGCCACTCCTGCTGTGGGTGTGTCTTTCCATACCACACCCCCATGTGGGCGTGGCTACTTATGTCACTCCCATGTGGCCATGACCATCAGTCCAGCTGTGAGCGTGTCTCATAGTGCCACTCCTACCTGTCTGTTGAACATCAGTCGATCAACTAGTAACAGCTATTTAGTCAGAAATAGTGGCAAATGGGTTGAGGTGTTTGTGTAAAAATCTGTATGCTGCTGCTGTTGTTGGAAATAGTACCCCTGAATTGTTTGACACTCAGGAGTGAGATAAAAAAGTTAAATAAAGGTCTAAACAAGCAGGCAGATGTATTGGATCTATTAAGACAGTTTTTAGCACTGGAGTTGTAAAGCTCCCCTGGAATGCAAGCTAACAGATAGTGTTCCCCCGGCCCCAGGTTGAGAACTGAAAATCTAAAAGCGCACTGGCAAAGAAAAACCAGGAAAAGGGTGACGAGGGGTGGTGGCGGAGCTCTGGGGTTTGAAGCCTCAGCCGTCCTGCTGCTTGCTTTCACGGTTTGAAAGAGCTGCTCTCTCACGGGTGTGTCTCTCCCCCCCCCCCCCGTCTTCTCCCCTCCCGCCGACAGGGATCGACAAAGAGAACGTGGAGCTGTCCCCCACCACGGGCCACGCCAACAGCGGCCGCACGCGGCACGGCTCGGCCAGCCAGGTGCAGAAGCAGAGGAGCGCCGGCAGCTTCAAACGGCCCAGTATTAAGAAGATCGTGTGAAGAAGGAAGTCTGTCCCCCGGGGGAGGAGGAGGGGGGATATCCCAGCCAACCTCGCCAGTCATGATGCTGCACTTTTTCCTTTTTTTTTTTAACCTTTAACCCGTCAAGTCAGCCAGTTTGCCTGACGATCAACATTGAAGAACTGCCTGAATTTGAAAGCCTTTGTTTTTAATTTTTTTTGTTTTTTGTTTCAAAAAAAGCCAGCCAGTGTTTCTGAAGCATTACAGAAGACCTTTTTAATTTTTTTTTTTGTTTTTGTTGTTGTTTTTGAGGATGTATTAATTTACATAATAAAATATATATTAGACTTTTTTTGAGGAATATTTTAGCTGGAAGAAAGCACTGAAACTCTCAACACTGCAGCAGTCGTCAGAAAACGGAAGCCATTTGCTATAGTTCAAACTTCTTGCTTCGATTTTTTTTTGCCTTTTTTATAGTAGTAGTTTAAAAAAAAAAGACTATTATTTGCACACTTTTCTTTAATCCACAGAACGTGGCTTTTTATCGTGGGTTGAAGGAATCTGCTAGCCAGGGCCTCTTGCACGTTTCCTTGAGTGGAATTTTCCTTGTCGTCGAGTTAGGAGTGTGAAAGGCCGGCCAGCCAGCCCGAAGGACTTGTTTATTTGGGCCGGAAAGTCGGCGAGCTGGGTACTCATTCGGATTGTCTTAGAAACCGTGGGGAGGCGAGAATCGTCAAGCACGGCTCTTTTGACCTCCAGCTGTAAGGATCCGTCTGCGGCGAGGAGCTCCGTACAGATGTTCGCGCGCTGCTCGTGGGCTCCGCGCGGGGCGACGGTGTCGTCTGACTGAAGACCCGTAGTCGGTCGAAGGAAATCCGTCCGCCACCTCCACTGGCCCGGTCTTCTTGCAGAAATGCACACCGCTTCCCCGCTGTGCCCCCGGGGAGGGAATCCGCCGCCAGAACATCAGCACCCGGACCAGGAAACCCAGTGAACCCAGCGGAGTGGAGATCAGACCGGACCACGGATCGCCCAGCTCGGGAACTCGATTTCATCCGCAGTAGTGAAATCCAAAACGTATTTAAGACAAAGTGGGAGGGGGAAAAAGCCCTCTCTCTCCCACACACACACACACATTTTGGGATGTTGTTCAATCCATTGTGTGCCTTCGTCAGGGTTTTCAGATGTTTATAGTTTGTAAAATAAGCGAAGCCTTGCTTTGGAAAGTAAAAACAGGTACTAATTTTAGACTGTACATACGGTAAAGAAAAGCATTGTAAACAGGATCATACGACAATATACAATCAATCATCAGTACCCCGCTGCCTGGTAGTGTTTGCCCTGTATAGCAAAATATCCATTATAAAGAACTTTTTTAACTTTAATTCATAAACAAACTGACTGCGAGACACTAGAAGTACACGCAAACTTGTAAATAGAAAAGCTCCTTTATTTTATTGATGAAAAAAATGACAGTTTGATTTGTTTACAGTCCAGAAGATGACAGTGGATACAGTTGTTATATGCAAAACAAATTTGCCAAAACCGTAATATAGAATTTACAAATATATAAGTAAATACGATATATAGTATTGATTAGCTTGCAGGTATGTTGATTGACCATTCTAATGGCCACAGTAGCTGTAGGAGAGAGCTGTCTGAAATAGCAGCGGGAGTGTTTCTGAACATTGTGACGCGCAGTAGAAGATGCTGTTTAGTTTAGGCACTGTGTGATGCCAAGAGCTTTCCTGAAGCATTAAAACAGCGGAGAACTGACTGTCTTACAGTAGATTAAGCTATTTCCCTTCTAGGTGTGGTCTGTCGTGTGAAAGTGCAGAACTAAACTATTTTGGTGGGTACCCTTGGCATGCAGGTGGCCTTTGTACCAGGGATAACACCAGGAAAAACTGACAGCTTCCCCCCGCGCCTTCTCCGACTGGCGTTGTCAGCCAAGCGCATTAAAACGGCAGACTTGGTGCTCCCGTTAGAATTGATAGAAATGCCGCGCGTGCAGTTCCAGAACGGCGCCACCTGGTGGGCAGTCGCGGGCTTTCCCGCTGCCAGAGAGCCACGCTGGCTCCCAAGTGCCTCTGGGAGGGGCCAGGGTCTCGGCTGCCCTTTCCTTTGCGACTCCCTCGCTTCTGCCAGTTGATTAGACGATGAGCTTTTGGGGGGGGCCCTCCTCCCTGGCCCCTCCAGCCTCCTCTCTTGGTGTACAGCACGAGAGACGAGAGAGAGGGGCCTCAAGCGGTGACGTACTCTTCGCTGCTAATCCTAAAATGAACACCCACTTGCAAAGAGCGTGGAGCTGGATGCACCCTCTTGAACTACCTTGTGCTTTTTGTGCACACAGTCTAGTCGCAATCTCGGATAGCAAAATGAGGTTTTGAGTGTTTTTGCGCTCTGAATTAGGACAGACTTGCCCCCATTGATGTTTTAAGAGCAGAATGTGTGCTTTTGTTTTAAAAATAAAAGCTCCTGATTGCTAGCCTTGCTTGGTTTGGCTGCCAGGGCCTGTTTCAGTGCAGTTGTAAATGCTGCGATCGATTCAGAGCTGCCAGCACATCTGAATGCTCTGTTTTCAGGCATATTACAAACCCCAGACCCTTTCTAGTTATTCTCGGTGCGATTTAAACAAAAAGCGTGGTGCTACTGACATGATACTGACCAAACGCTGCGTTTTGGCTTTTAATATTAGCAAAACCGGAGTGCAGCTCTTCGAACGAACAGCCGCCGAAACAGCCTGGCGCGCGTTGTACACTCGAGGGGAGAGGGGCCCAGGTGCTGCCTGAAGTGGCCGTGACTGCATTTTTTTCAAGAGGACGCCAGTCCTGTGAGGGAGTTTGTTCTGCACCTCTTCACATGAACCAGCTCCAACCTGCCGTTCTTGTTTTTGTGTGTGTCGTCGAGTGCTGTGTTATGCATCCAAACAATATATAATACACAGTCCTAATGAAATTGGTGCACACACGCCTCGTTTCAAATGGTGACCCGTTGTTCTGTCGAAACCTGTAGGTGCTAATTCAAGGAAGGATGGATGGATACCATCGAAAGCGAAAAAGTCATCTTAAATGGGTATATTTTGTTTACAAATGTTTAAATACTTGAATTGACAGTAACAACCTATCTGGAATACAGCCCTTCCTCTCAAAGAGAGCCAATAAAGGGAAAAAATAGCTTTGAAAGTAACATAAAGGTACCAAACCCACTCTGACAAGGTGTTACAGACCTTAATGTTGTATTGTTAAAGGAACCAAAGTACAGGAACTGCAATATAGTGACAGAATAAGCTCCTATATCACTGACTTTAAGAGAGAAAGTTCATTTGAGAGTGAGGGACGGAGGCAGCCTGAGTTTTGTATTATATATATTTACAGATAGTGAATGCTTTTTGATTATCTTGATATTATAGTTAACAAAATACCGACCAAAATAATTAATGCAGTCGCTAGTGGAGGGAGTATGTATATTAAAATAGGTCTGGACAGTGTAAAGGTGATTTAACAAATGTAGCCAAGGTACTTTAAAAGTTTGTTTGCTCCTTGTAGGCCTTTCCAAGGTTTTCCCAAGCTAGAAATCCGTTCGTTCCTGTGTCATAAGGCTGAGAAGAAAAGGACCATCTTTGGTTCTGTAATTTGGTTGTGGGAGCCACCTTCTCCTGAGAACCCACCCCTTATTTGCCGTTTGTCTGCCGATGCCACTTCGACCGGGTGTTTCCGAGAGCGTCGCCCCCAGTCTCTCTAGGTTTTGGACCGCCAGTAACCGAGATGCTGTACAGGAGAGGCCTGAGACGAAACTGATTCAGCTGAGGGGAGGATTCTGGGTGCATCTCTGCTTTATTTGTGTTTCGTGCCAGGGTGCAGAATGCAGTTTTCCCTCCCCAGGCAACTTGCTCTCTCTTGTCACAAGTGTCACCTGGCGCAGCGCGATGCAGACATTGCGCAGAAAGAAATCTCGCGCCTTAGCAGAAGGTGGGAGAAGCTCTGTCTGCACAACTGTATGGGAAGGGAAAAACGACTAGTTGGATCAACTCGCTTATAAGCCTTTAGTCTCCAATGCGGGGTTATTTCAGTTTTCAATAGATGATACCGAATTAGTAAAAATTGTTTATTGAATAGGAACTAACTTAAAAATATTTTCACTCATTTTGGAATTCCCATTTTCTCACCCTTTAATGAGAAATATTTTGGGAATTCCTCCTCAAATGAATGCTCTGCACCTGTGTGACAATGGTACGCAACTGTAGGGGGAATAGCGATGGACTGGGAACTGGATACTGAAAAGGTTAGCAAGCACAGACGTGACGTTTGTTAGCTGGGAACTCCAGAATATGGCAGACTGAGTGGCGGCTGTTGGTTTGCATTGCAGAGATAAAGGTCCTGCCTCTGACTGGATAGCGAAACAAAGCTCATCCGGAACCGAGACCTTTTAAAAAATACAACCACCATTTTCTGAGGGCACCTAATGATTTTCAAAAAGATTTTAAAAGCTGAGAGTGCACATAGAGCAGATGACCTGGTTTGTGTGAAGGCTGTTTTGTAGTGTGTAGAATTGCACTATTCCTAACTGCAGTCAGACATGTCGTTTGCAAGGAGTAATGACCTAAAATTAGGCACCTCTTCCATGAGGTTATGCAAAACACATTTTCGCCACAAGGAGTCACTGTTGAGCGTTAGCCACACTATTTTTTTTAATGCAGTACGTTTCACCTCTGTAAATATTTTGTGTAAAATTTGACAAAGGTATATTTACTACACTGTAAATACATGTGACGATATATTGTATTATTTTGCTTTTTTGTAAAGCAGTTAGTTGCTGTACATGTATAACATACAAATTTAATTATTCTAGTGTTAGTAATGATACTCTCCACTTTCATTGCATTATGCCATTAAAATAAACATACTGAGAAAAAAATAGAGATGACTACAAATTGCTGTGTATTATAAACTCGCACTGTGTAAGGTAAACTTTACTGTTCCCTTTGGACTTCGCCATGAGCAATGTTACCTTAATGAATAGCCTCATTCCTTTTACTTCTGTGTGGCAAAGACATGCCAGAGGAACTCATCAGATGCTACAGAAACTGCTGTCAGATTTGGATATGTTACTCGTAGCTACCATTGTAGAAATCATTGTTCAAAGTTTTTGCTCGTCCCACCTCTCTCCCTTTCCATTTCCATCCCTGTATGTATGACTTTTTTTGGAAGTAAAAATGTAAATTCAACCTGTTAACATCTGTTGTGCTGGTGTCCTTCTGTTCGGGTGACGGCTCCTGACCCAGGCAGAGAGCCGACAAGTCCTCCGTGATAGCTGAAGAAGAAAAAACGCACGTTTTAAATTATAATTAAGTGAACTTTTTTTTTTTAAAGCAGTCCAGGCAGATTTTTCTGTATGGATGAGCTGATGGGATTATTTTTGTCCCAGCTTTATTTTTGTGTCCGGCTTGTGCTTTGAATGCTTTTTCCCTGCCAGGTAACTTGCTCTCTCTTGCTCTGAACTTTTTACAAGTGCATTACCCACTGAAGCTAGAGCCTAAATACAAGACACCTCAGGACAGGTGGAAAACCCAGTCTGTGAGGCCTTTTGTGCAAATGGCTAGTTAATGGTTAAACTAGCTGACTAGTTGGGCGTAGCTGATGCCTTTAACTGTAGTACCATGCAGGCACAAAGACTGGAATTGTGCAGTGCCTGTTTTGGTGGAAAGGGAATCATGTTTAAGAAGAAGACATCCTGCTGTTAGAAGTTTATGGATCCAAGAAACTATATTTTAGATTACAAATATTTTTGTCATTAGCACCTCTTATATCTACCTGTGAGTTTTATATTTTAAGCTCAGGGACCATGAGGAAAAAACGTTAAGTAAAGAAAGTTAAGGCAGATAGTGGCTGCTACTGTCAGCTTTCCTGTCCTGTGGACTTGAGCTCCTTGATCGATCTCTTCTTGTGCTTTTACTAACTGCAGAGGCACTTGAGGGAAGTACGCTTAATTGCTTAGTCAAACCAGAGATTAGCACCATTCACAATGCAAAACCCTTTCTCTTGCGAAGGCATCCTGACGCACACTGCACAGTTCATCAGACGCAGTCAGCGTCACGCTCTTGCATGATGAAAGCATGCCCGCAAAAATTAAATGATCGTTACTGACTTTACATAATCTCACGTTTTGGGATTTCTGCTCCGAACATGAAAAGGAGGTCCATAGACTTCAGGGGGACTTTTCTTGCTTCACAGGCAAATTTAAATAAACTTAAAAAATACATTAATAACATGAAAGTTAACAGATTGTTTAGCCTTTCATCTTGTAGATTCCTCCTCATCCCAGGAAATAAGATTAACTTTGTCCCCCATGGGGAATTTTTTGTATGGATGCATACTAGTTCTGTACATCTGAATACATTACAAAACATTGCATATCACTTGTATTGTACATGCATAACTCATTTAAAAAAATAGGGAGCCTTAGATTATACAAATCCAGAGTGTAGTTTGCCCCAGACACTGGAGTTAACCTGCCTCTTGCCCTGAGATTTTTAATACAGCAGGATCTGTTTAACTCATCTGAAGGACAGCGCCTCCTATGGTGCAGTGTCGCCCATTGGCTGCCACCTACTGGTCTATCACTACATCACTACAGCAGGTTCTTTTTTGAGATACATTTTCCCGTACTGACCAGTCCCAGCTCGGATGCGATCTGGACAAGACGAGATGGAAACGCTTTTAATTAATTAATTAATTGCTTACACTTATATCGCGCTTTTCTGGACACTCCACTCAAAGCGCTTTACAGGTAATGGGGATCCCCTCCACCACCACCAACGTGCAGCCCCCATCTTGTTTTTTCCACCGTCTCAGTAGAAGACACCGTTTTTAAAAGGGGTTGGCTGCTTTTGTTTCTTAGTATGATAGTGTATAGACTGTATATTGTACTGCCCCGCCAGGCGGGCTGAGAACAGCGCCTGGGGGCGGGACTACAGGACTGTATATAGTAGGGCGGAGGCTGCGAGACAGCCCCTTCCTTTCATGTGTGTGTGTTAGAGAAGGTGCAGCGCTGTAACCTCTGTCCTTGTGTGTGTACCTTTTCCGGTTCAAGTTCAAGTTAATAAATGTGTTCAGTCCTATTCCCCGAGTCCCATGCCTGCTCCGTTCCGTACCGAAACCCGAATTCGTTACAATATTCTAGCTCCCAGGAGGTTTATAACAATGAATGAGCCCAGCCCCACGTTAAATCAAGTAACAGCAGCGATTCTTATTTTCACACCAAAAGCCAGGCAATATGAGCTGCCCGTGCCGTCAGATTCTCTCAGGCCACCATCCGTGAACACTACGAGCTTTTCTCGTCGGCCCGTGACGCGTCCCCTCCTCCCAGCCTCGCGATAGGGGCAGAGGTCGCCCGCCGCGGAAACCCACGCCATGGCGGCTCCTGGCCGCCCGGCGCCGTCCCGCCGGCGAAGCGCCGGGCGCCTGAGCCAACATGGAGGCCGGAGGGGCGCCAGTTTCCTTCCTGCTCTAAACCCCACCCACCTCTCGGGATTCGACGCCTGGCTCGGAACCTCCGCGAGACCCGCCTGGCTGCCCGGGCCTGTCGCGAGATGTGATCAGCTGTTGTGTCTGTTTTTAGAGTCCAGTGTCCGGACTGCCAGCACGTGGGGAGGAGAGACAGACAGAGAGGGGAGCACGCTGGGGGATTAAGAGAAGGGCACGAATCTGTTTAGATAGTCGCGTACAATTCACGGTGGCGCTTTACAAAAAAGAAAAACAGTAAGTATACGTGCGCTTCGTATCCCACACCATGTGCGGCGGCGGCGAGGCGAACGGGGCTGTCGGCTCAGCAGGCGTGTTAATAGTAGCGTTAGATTTCCTGACGTAGCAGCGACCTATCAAACCTCAGGGAGCACCGGAGCCGTAAGTTAACTTTTCAGGCGAGCCTTCCCGACTCGAGTCTCCGAACTGGGTTTTTTTAACCCCCCACGACCACCACCACCACCACCACTCACCTCCGTGCATTCCCAGTAGGTCTTTGCTATAGTTTGGAAGAACAGAAAACGGGATTATTCATTATTTTTTGTCCTTTCTCCACACACACACCCCCCCTCCTCTCGGTTGGGCACAAAGACACCGAAGGAGGCTGCCTTGTTCTGGCCCGGAGCACCGGAGTATCGCACCGGCTGGATTGAGGGGGTCGCCCGCCCGCGGAGGCGGCGTGTGTGATTTCGAAAGTGTAGCCGTTTTGAATCTTTCGCTTCTCCCTCCCACCATCGCCACCTCCCTGGCCCCCCGTATAGCGGCGCGGCACCGCCTGCGACCCGAGTCGAGGAGCGGGGTGGTGTGTGGTGCTCGCCGCCGGACCGGAGAGGTACAAAGACGGCGAAGCGGGGAGGTTTGAAGGGCCGGAGCGGTGATCCACATGGGCTCGTTAAAACCCGCTAGCGCCCGACGCCGTGCTGAAGGCCGCCGGTAGCCGAGTTCCCGGTGAATTTGACGGAGGAGAGCGATTCCGTTTCGGCGGGTCTGGAGGTGACTCATTCTCCTCATTCGCCCAGTGACCAGGAGCGCTGCGGCCTACCTCGCCTTCGCAATATACCGCATACATATACTACAGCGGCATCGCTCGTTTTGCATTGTTTCCTTGGTTTTTGTCGTCTGCGGTGCCGCATGACTGGGGGGGACTGAGATTGTTGCCTTTCTCTCTCTTTTTTTTTTTTTAAATTCGGTTTCCCCACTGGCGAAATGTAGCGGGGATGGCGGTGCACCTTCGCTCGTCTTGTAGCAGCTTGCAGTCCCTGCTTTCTGCAACGTGCCTGACGATGCTTGTGTGTGAGGTTGTCTGTTAAGTTTCTGCTGCAGAAACGGGGCTTTTCGGAAGGACGCCGGCGTGTTGTGTGTGTGTTGGGTGGGGGGGGTCCGATTAGACCTTGCGATACACTTAAAATCGCCCACTTGCTCGGTTTGTCGACACGCCGGGCACACACACGGCCAGCCCGGTGTCCCTTGCGCCCGCTTGCCAAGGTCGCGGCGCGGCCGCAGTTATTTTATCTCCTGGTTCAAGGTGAGCTTTGGAGGGGAGGCGGTAACGCTTCATTAAGGACGGGGGGGTTAGGCCTCGCGTGCCGGTCAGAGCAGCCGGGGAGATCCTCTCCACGCGTGGGGAAACAGGTGTAGGTCACGGAAGCAGACGGCGTGCGCGTCGCTCTCCCTCTTCTTCCTCCGCCTTCACCGGAATGTCGCTTTAAAAATGTCGCCGTGTGCGCTTGGGTGTGTGTAGTCGTGGGCTACCTGCCTGCCTGCGGGTACAAGCCGCCTCCCCACGGCGGGCGAGACAGAATCCCCCTGGGGCGAGTGCACGGCAGCTCTTCGGGAGGTTAGGCGCCCGTAGTCGTTGTGGAATCGTATCGTTGTTGTGGCGTGATGAGTGCATGTTTTCTTCTCCAATTCGCGAGCAGCTGTGAAGTTTTCAACTGACATACTTGTTAGTGAACTCCTCCTGTTGGAGTTTTAGTGGCGCTTCATCACACGCATTTCTGTGGTGCGGTTTGCGGTTGCTTTTTCCTCAGGTTTAGATGAGGTGTGTTCATTTAGTTAATGGTGAAGCCTGGTTTTTCATGTTCCAAGCATTTTTTTTATACAACTGCAAAAATAAATGTCTGTAGGTGAAGCTCAGAATGCCTTAACCGAGTTCCTCGTTGTGACTGGGATGGCCGCTCCTCCAGCTGGCCCTGGTGATGTTAAGCATCCACTTGTGTGTAGTGGATGATTTCAGCAGCAGGAATGAAGGGCCCTCTACTTCCCCGGATAGCCGTGAAGCAAACCACAGTCAGTCCGCTACTCTTCTGCCATCAGACAAGGTGGCTGGAAGGTGGAGGAAATGTTGTGTGCCACATTGAGCTGAATGCATTGTGGAAGGTTTTCTGCTATGGGATTGAGCACTACATGTTTCATCATTGTCATGGCTGTGGAGAGGGGAGTGGGTGACGTTATTGGCTTGTTTGCGGTTCTTGCCGCCACGTACTGCTTGGTGCTGCTTACCTGCTCAGTCTCC